CTTAGAGCAAATCTTACTGTTATCAAAAATACCCTGATTAACTAAACTTCAGGTGAGAGAATTACCAAGACACTATTTTTGATACTTCAAATCCCTGTGCATACCGACATCACCAGACAGAGAGCTCTATGGGAATAGGAAATGTGCCTTATCTGTCTTTATATTCACAGTGCCTAGCATGCTGCTAGTGTTTTAGTGAGTTGGAAGGAATGAGGGACAGCAGAAATGAGAAGAAAGGAGAGGAGGGAGACTATGGAGGAAGACTGCCTAGATAAATTTGGTGTCTTTTATAACAGGGAACACTACCATTTGTGAAATTTTCTAAAAATAGCAATTCTAACTGCTTTCTTATTATTTTTTTTTTTTTAGGTTTAGCAAGAAAATTCTAATTTCAGTATGCCTGAAATGGTGATGTTTAATTTAAAAAAAGAAAGAACTTTTTATTTTATAAAGACACTTGAGAAAGTTGGTGATACTGGCAATTGAACTGGATAATGATAATCTTTAGCACGTTATTTATTTATACATCTTGGATATGTTTCCAAAAATGCTTATTTAATATCTCATTTCATGAGGTACTGAGCTAGATGCAATGAAAAACAAGCACATCTCGGGCCGAGCCCGTGGCGCACTCGGGAGAGTGCAGCACTGGGAGCGCAGCAGCGCTCCCGCCGCAGGTTCGGATCCTATATAGGGATGGCCGGGGCGCTCACTGGCTGAGCGCAGTGCGGCCGGTCTCAAAAAGGACATAAAAAAAAAAAACAAGCACATCTCTTCCTACCCTAAAAGCTTAAAATCTAAAGAGGATTTTTAAGGATATAAAGACATTTAGCAAGGTATTTTAATGTTATATATGTAAATAGACATATAACAGAAATGGTCTCATCTATCTTGATTTATATTGCACGATTTCATCTTTATTCCTCGCCCTACTCCAAGTGTTGTATTTACAAGAGGTTATTATTATAATCCCATTTTACAGATGAATAGAGGGAAGCTCAGAATGGAGAAGCGTCTGACTTTAGCTAAAAAAAAAAAAAGGTAGTGGAAGATCCTAGACCAGAACTCCAACTCCTTACTCTAATGCTTGTAGTCTTTCTACACAACACATTCTGATAATTAAAATTCATCTCCTTCACTGTGTTACCAAGAAAGAGTAAGAAATGCTTGTGATTCTGGCAAAGGGAATGTCAGGGAAAGTTATAGGGGGAAAAAATACTTTTAAAATTGTATCCATTGCATTTGTCTTTGAAAATATGGGAAAATGCCTCCAACAATCCTATTTACTATTTATATCTTTTTGTTTGTTTGTTTGTTTTGTTTTTTGTCCTTTTTGTGACCGGTAAGGGGATCGCAACCCTTGGCTTGGCGTCACCCACACCGCGCTCAGCCAGTGAGTGCCCCGGCCATCCCTATATAGGATCCGAACCCGCAGCAGGAGCGCCACTGCGCTACCAAGCACCGCACTCTCCCGAGTGCGCCACGGGGCGGGCCGGCCCTATTTATATCTTCTTATTCACTGATATCCTTGGATCTTTCAGTTCCCCAAAAAAAGGTATTGGTTCACTTCAATAGCAAAGAAAGGTACTGGTTCATTTCAATAGCAAAGAAAGTGAACTACAAAATCTCTACTGCACCTTTCAACAATAATTACTGTATACCCACTATGTGCATAACTGAAAAGGACATAAATCAAAGAGCATAGTGCCTAACCTCAAGAAGTTCGCACTTTATTTGAGGAGATAAGTAAGCCAAATACATAAAAAGCCAAATACATGAAATACAATAAAATATTCTCTTAAAAATATAGGACAATAGAGATAAGTCAATTGTCTAGTGTATGATGAACTACGTTCTCAGAAAGAAATGGGACTAAAGGTGATTTTAAATACTATGTGGAAATTAGGTTAGGAAAAAGATATATATAGAATTGGAAAAGCACTGGCCTGATGGGCAAAAAAATGTTCAAATTGGAGAACAGAGGAAAATAAACTTACATACTTATGGTCAGTTTTCACAGGCCTTGAATGCTAGGAAGAAATGTCTACATTCTATTCTCCAGAGTCTAGACAAGTTTTTGTATGAGAAATAACCCAATGAAAATAGTGATTTAGTAAGGTTACTCTCACAAGTATGGGAACAGTGAAATTATAATGGGGGAAGAACATGGGGAAAGTGATCGTTAAAGTTCTATTTCTACTTTTACTTTCTATAAAAGTTTAAGATCAGAAAAATGAACAAAGAACGATCATGAAATACAATCATCAATAAAAAAATCATGTATTTCTTATATGCACATTTAAATTGGGTAAAATCCTATAGATCTATTCCTTTCTTCAGATGGTAAAAGGAAACATAAATCCACACAATTTTAATAACAGAAAAAGACCTTAGGGATCAAGTCCAATATTTTCATCTTTTTTCAGATGAGAAAACTGGGAAGCAGCAAGGTTAAGCAATCTAAGATGACAAAACCAGGTAATATCTGAGAAGGGACTAAATCTTACTTATAAAATAATGTAACACTGTTAGGGAAAACTTCATCCCATTGTTATCAAGGGGATGGGAGCAGTGTATATTTCTAGGCAACATGTTTGATTTCCTTCATGAAAAGTAAGATTTTCACTTACATTTATTAGCTACTATGGCAGATGATGAAGCAGCAGCTGTATTCATCTATACCAGGACTAAAGACGGAGAAGAGAGAGGAGGGGAGAGAGGCAAGAATATACCCAGAGATGGCAAGTACATATCACTCATCTTTCAGGGTTAATCCCACCTTCTGTCTCACAACTCTTCTCAATACAGTGCTCCTGGCAGCTACTACTTAAATTAGTTAGCACAACTGTTAAAACCTACTTACTATTCCTGTTCTACCATTCCCTAAAAGGCTATGAAAGCTTACCTTGGTTTGTGTTTTAGGGTTGCTGTTTTTTTCAAAGTTGCTGTTTAACCAGCCCACAGTCTTTTTCACTTACTATTCTCTGTTCTCAGTGATATCTCTTTCTATTCTTACAATCTGTTGATGCAGTGCTTCTCAAACTTCAATGTGTATGTGCATCACCTGAGGACCACGTTAAAATGGAGATTCTGACTCAGTAGATCTAAGGTGGGAGCCTGAGATTCTGCATTTCCAACAACCTCCCAGGTGATGCCGATGCTGCTAGTTCACCAATCACATCTGGAGTAGAGTTAGCTACTCCTCCTCGAACAACCTGAGAGAGTATCACCATTACATTTAGGGGGAAATAAGTAATCAAGAGCAAAAGGAAAGCACTCTACAAAGAACATATAAAGAACCCACACTCTGAACACTGATATCTAAATACACAGAGTTCCTGAACTTGGCTTCATCCACAGATCTTAGGCTTTGCAAAGACTTTCATGGGCAACCTACTAACCCTAATTGAAAGAACGACAGGACCCGAGCTGACAGTTCACCAGAGAAGTTCCGCTTTATTCGGGGGAGAAGCATACATTTATATAGAGCCGGGTTCCGGGAGAGGGTGATTAGTACACGGGGCGGTAGTTGATTGGCCAGGGGTGGATAATGATTTCTGATAGGCTGCACCTTGGCGCCGCGAGATTGTTAGGACCCGGAAGAGAAAAACGCCATGTTTAGGGAGTGCCTCCTTTGGGGTCTTCTATGGGGCCTTACACTAATAGCCACTCTCTCAAGCCTCACTTAGGTCACATTTCAAGCCTGACACTTACTGCCATCCTATTATTGATTTAGAATGCCCCAATTGCCATCTCTGTTTAGCCCGTGTCTCACTGAGGGTGAAACAATATTCGTTTTAAAATATTTTCTAAAGAAAAATGGAGAAATGCCAACTAATAATGCCAGCCAACAAAAGGCACAATAAAAAAATACTTTCAATATTACTATAGCAGATGTACTCAAAATCTACAAAACATCCAGGAAAGGCATATTCTCTACACATTAATTTTCATTCATACCTTGTAACTGCATGATAAAAATGTATTCACACTTTAGAAACTACACAATCTTTTACATCCTAAATTACATCATTTACTGTCCTTTTCTAAATTTCATTGATCTTCAGTTTAAAATTCCTACAATTAAAAATAGCAAAAATGTTATTTTAAGTCTTTTCCAGGGAAATCCCCCTTTATTATTAATTTTTAAATCATTCAGTCATTTACAATATTTTTTTTAAAAAAAGAAAGAAACCTGTCTCCAGTTAAGATTTCACCTTTACTTCAAACAAAGCTCATTTCCTTTTTATGTGAAACCTGCTCCTTAAATTACCTGGAGCCTTTCAGGAATGAAGAAATGGACAGAAGAAAAGAGGAGAGTGGTTTTTTTTTCCCTTCCGTCCTTTTTTGAAAAGGATATTAACATAAATGCCGAGGAAATTTAGAGATTAGCAAACAGAATGTAGAAGAGTCACAGTAATTCATAATCTGAAAATGAGTTAGCAGAATACACAGTATTACTTAAAATATAATCATTATGTTACAGCAAGAAACATCAGTATATTACTTCCAAGTTGGAATATAACCTTTTTGTTCTACAGCAAATGATCAAACACTTATCATCAAAAATTCTCAGAACACAATATCATATACTAATTAGCAACCTTTTGGTAACTGCATTTTGAAACAGTATATGAAGGGGAGATGAAGAATGGGGCTAAAATTTATTAAGCTAGCCTCTGGCTTCTGGACTTGTCTTTGTGCTCGGCAGGTACTGGGAGAGGTGTGTGTGTGTGTGTGTGCACGTGTGTGTGTGCACGTGTGTGTGTGTGTCCATATTTATGAGTAATTTCTGTTACCTTCATTTAATCCTGATAACTACCCAGTGCAAGGAATTATTATTATCTTCATTATTCCAATATAGACACCGACAAGTGGGATTGAGCATTTTATCCAATATTTTATGGCTTCAAGTGATGGAGTTATATATGAACAAGCCTGTCTGACTCTTAGTTCAAATAAGAAAATAAACCAAACAATTTTGCTCATCTCTAAAAGATACAAGCCTTAGATTACATCAAAAAAACTTAGTTTGATACAAAGAAAAAAAACAGTTTCTTCCAGAAATTTGCCAAATCCAGATAGATATGACATAAAAACAATAATAAATCACAATACTTCTAATGTTTTAAGTGTTCATCTGTCTTTCAGACAAGACTAGGGATAGTCCCAAATAGCCTAAATATCCCTGCTAGTACTTGTAGGACTCATGCTTAGAATTAGTAAAACTGTATAGGAATTGTACAAAAATCATAATTAAACTTTTAAAAGTTCAAATATAGACATATCATAACAGCATAAATTATGGTCATTCTAAGGGTACTGCAAGGAACCAACAAAGAGCCAAAAAAAAGGAGAAAGCAACACCTGTTTTATTCCACTTTTGGTGGTTCGCTATGATGCTTTTCTTTCCACCAATAACTTTTAGGAAAATTATTAATAAAATTCCAAAGACCAAAATTCTCAAGCATTCTAATTAGAAATAAAGCTGAGAGACAAGACAGTAAAACAAAACATAAGGCATACCTGACATATATCATCAAGTTGAGGTTTTCCATAAAGGCCAGAGATATGTTCTGCCCGCATGAGATACTCTGCTGTTCTTCTCTTCACAGCTTCTCGACGGGTAGGGCTTGACTCACCTAAAAGGACAATACAAAAGTCTGGACATGTGAAAAATAAATAAACTTTCTGTTATCCAATCTGAAGGTTAACTTCCTTTCACCCAATTCACTGCTTATTCACATTTCTGACTGAAATGAAGAGATACTCAAAATTGGAAAAGACATGAAAGTTAGTAATATCACTGAGGTCTAAATATCACACCCATGAATTTCATTTGCCCAAATTCTAACACTCTCCTATTTAAATTTGTACTGAAAACTTGATGTATTTTAAGAGGAGTCAAATATATAAGAAATATAGTGCAAAAAGCTCTGAAGACAAAAAAAACTAGCCCTCATCCAGACAGTATACTGTTATCCAACTCAATAAGTAGAAACAAATGCAACAAATGTTTAATATTAGATATGATTTGGAATTGATATGTGGTGAGCTATGTAGCAGTACCACCAAACTAGAGAATAAAACTATTTATATAACTGTATTAGTCTGTTTCCGTTGCTTATGACAAAACATCTGGTACTGGGTGATTTAGAAAGAAAACGAAATTTATTGCTTACAGTTTCAGAGGCTGGGAAGTCCAAAGTCCAGGGAACACATCTGGTGAGGGTCTTGGCGGTGGCAACAGTGACCCAGGGGTCTCATGTGGCAGAAAATGGCAGAGCAGAGCGAAACTAATCTCTCATGCACTCTTCCTTTTAAAGACCTCAGAACCACACCCCTGACCACCACTGTTAATCCATTCACGACAGCATGGTCCTACAATCTCTCTTCAAGGCCCGACTGTTCAATTACCATAATGGGATTTCTCACCCTCAACAGTTACAGTGGTGATTAAATTTGGGGGGTACACTCAACCCAAGGCAATAATCCTGAATTCACTCTAGTTGATTTTTGTAAGCTTCATGGTTATTATATTAGTGATAAGTTGTCAACTACCTTACAACTGAAAACAAGAATGTGATTGAATCCATATAATATAAAATTATGTGAAAGTGAACAAGTCATTTACCCTTTTTGGGTCTCAGTTTCCCTAAACAAAGGGTATTCAAAGTGGCTTCAAAGAACTCCTCAAGACTTCAAAAAAGAGGTGGTTAATGTGCTCTCTCCTCTTCAGAATAGGATAATTTTATATAATAGACTAAATTATAGCATTCCATCTGAAGAAAGGATTCCATGGATGAAAGCCAAAAAGTTTGAAAACCAGTTATACTATATGATCTCTAAAGTTCCTTTCATAAATACTATTCTATGATATTCTATACCATTCATGACTTATTTTTATCAAAGCACTTAATACATAGTGCTGTTTTCACAATTCACTCTATGAATCTTCTGAATGAAGTTAACCAAGAGAGCAAGTATCAGATAGTAAAAAGTGCCCTGGATTACCTTCCAAAAACCCTGGTTCGTTATCTAAATTCTGGCTCTGCCTCTCATTAGTCTTGTGACCTATGATAAGTCATCTCAATTCTCCAAACCTCTTCCTCATTCCCTAAAGTGGAAATATGTACTTCTAATGATTGTGGGGATTAAAGGACACAATATTCATAGACGGTACAATGGAACCAGTCATATAGGAAGCACTAAACCGTTAAATTTTTAAACCTTGGTTTTTCTCTTCAAACCAAATCCTACAAAATAATGTTTCCTTGTTTGCTGAACTGAATTGTAATAAAGCAAATATTTTTCCCCAAAAGACTAATCATGGAAATTCTCTTCTTATTTCTGCCTGGAACAGCATCTTCTCCTCCTTCTTCTGGAAAATGCCTGTTCTTCCTCACCTTCATACTCTTCTATTCCTTCCCCCCATAACTAACCATGTGGTTTGAATAAAAGCTGCTATCTTGTTTCAGATATCTGTTTCTCTAGTCACCAAGATCTAGTTAGCCAAGGGTGGACTTCACTGTCACAAGCTGGGCCAATCACAGGACCCTACCCTCCTGGCCATAGTTGGAGAAGGGAAGAATTGGTACTGCACAAACTGGAACTTCTCTGTTATTGAAGCTGTAAATAAATGGACTGGACACTGCCAGCAGTTTCTGCTGATGCAAAGAAAAAAAAACTGAAATAAGGAACTTGACACAGACAGAAACAGATATGGGAGACCAAAAAAAAATGAAAAAGAAAAAGAAAGAGGAAGAGAAGAGAACCAGTGTTTCCAAGGTCCTTGATTTCAGGTGAACCTACATCCCTGCCTTTCTTTGCCTAAGGTAGTTCAAATTTGTATTTTGGCCAAGCAAACCAAAGAATCCTGACTGAATACAGACCTCAAAGAAAAACTGCAACAAAATTGGGATTGCGATTTTGCTAAATAATTTTCCTTCCACAGCTTTTACATGAGTATTCCATTGCTTCTCTCCTTAATGAGTAATTCATAAATATACCTGGTCTTGGTGGGGGGGAAACCTCTATTGCTTTTTAATTGTGTAACAATCTATATTTATTAATTCCCCAACTCCTCAAAGCTCAATTAAAATGTCAGTATGCTTCTGCCTCTGTCCTTAAAATTTACTTTCTAAACCCAAGGTTTTAGAGGGTTATTCTATTCAGTTGAAAAATGGGTATAATCTATCTGTGAAAATCACCTAAATAACTATAACATATTTTGAAGATAAAATGTGCCACATAAATAACAGCTATTCACTATTTCAACACACTACTAGTTCTTTGGTTCAGGGTTTACTATTTTGGGACACTGCTATTCCCATTATCATTAGTTCTCATTTCAGGTTATGCCATTCAAGCCCTAATTTAAACCCCCATTTAGAATTTTTGATTCACCTTAGGCTCAACTCTGATAGAAAATGTGGAACTTTAGTTTTTCAATTCAGTGTGTTTAAGCTTTAAGAAAGCTTCAAAATTTGCTTTATTCAAAAAAATCAACTTTCCTCATAAAATACCTTGAAATTCAAAAATGCCAAGATTATGGAACAGCTAGTTAAAGCTACAGTTAAAACCATATTTTGTATTCAAATCACTGCTTTTCAAACTTTTGGTTTTCCTGCTGCTTTTTAAGCAGTCTCCATAGTAACAGAGAAACAAGAACCGGAAGACAGTAGTTGAAATGGACTCCTGCTACTGCTTCCATGGAAACTACAAGGAAGTGATGAGAATGCTAGAAGGCTTTTAAAATGTAACTTTATATACAGACACTATCACTCCTTCCTTATCAGCCCCTGAAAGGGAACAACCACTGCTGATCAATAGCAGCAGCTAAAGATGAAAACAACTTCTTGCAGTTTTCTGCTGCTGGATGTTTACTAAGGTTTCTGAGTACCAGAAAAAAAGATGAATATATAGATTTCCAGAATAATTCTAACTGATTAAATTACTGATAAATATGACTTTAAACCGATTTTAATTGATTAAAAAATGTTTGACTGACTCTAACCTCCTTGGTTTCCTCTCACTTGTTCTTCATTTTAAAACAAACATAAACACATACACAGTCCACAATGACTATTATTCAAGGAAAACAATAACTTCAATCCCATACTAGATCATGTAGCTATTATTTCTTCAGTAACATAGCCAGGTAGACACTTAAATGCTTTTCAAAGTGGATACATAGTCTATATTCTATCCAAAAGTAAACCAATACCTTCAACAAGTTTCTCTACATTTCTGTCAATCACTAAGATACAGCAAGAATTTTCACTGGGCTTTGGCATTCAAAAGAGAAAAACTGTTCCCATTATTTAATAACCTTTACGTCAAAAAGTTCTGGCATATCATAAAAGATGTCTTATGTGGCCTGTGACAACCTGTATTTCTTTACTCCACCTTCTCAATTCCTGATCAGGAAGGATAGATATAGGGTGATTCCAGAGTATGAGCTGTGAAATGATTGGGTGCAGCTGAGTAGATATAAAGAGAAATGCCAAAGTTGTCACGAAATTTATAGAACACTGGACTATCTATCCTCCATTTCTCAGGGCATAACTCTGACTTCAGTAACTAAAAGAAGTTTTATAAAACGCCTGGTCTACAGATAATAGAATATGGAAATTCTCTCTTATCCAATAAGCCACCACCATTTGAAACCCCTCCATTATATCATCATTATCTATTTACAAGAGATATATTTCCTCAACTTTACAATTAAGAAAATTAAGGCTCAGGAATGTGACACGTCTTTCTCAGTCACATATTTAATATAAGAGCCTGAACCTAAACCAGGTCTTACACCATACTTCAGAGTACTTGCCATTATTCTAAGTTACCTTTCAATATAAATAAAAGTAACTGAATTTGAATTTGATTATTCTACTGTTTCTGAGTAGAATAAGAAAAATACAGAGCACAAGACAAGTACAGATGGGTATGAGAAGAAACATGAAGAGAAAATAAACATAAGAAACTGAGAACGGTGCTTGTCAGACAACATAGCAGAGTAGAAACAGAGAGGAGAGACGCTCAAGATGATAGACAGACACACAGGAAAGTTAGGACTACAAAGAAGTATATTTCACACTGAGTAAAAGAGAATAGGCCTTTCTGAGAAAAACTGGTCTCCAAAATTGGTTACCCAAAGATTTATCTGGAAAACAAAGGCCTTTTCTCATTTACCCATTAAAAAGAAAAAAAGGCAGTTTTACTCTGGGAACTAATAAAAATCAATTTCACAACCTAGAATAAAAAGTTCTTCTAGGTCTGCTATTCTACCCTTAGTCACTAAAAAGAATATAGCTAACACCCTCATCACTTGCTCAATAAGAGAAAAGCAATGCTAGAGGAAGAATGACCAATTTAGACCATATCTATATTTCATGGGCAATTTTAAGGAATGTTTAAGGATATTTTGACTATACTTGATTTTCACCACATGGACAGAACTTAATCCCCACATACAAGTCTACTCCGTCACATCTTATATTCTAATTTTTATTTCTCTACTGCACAAATTCTCTCCAAGAGGTTCTATGCCGCTGTGCTTAGTCAAGCATCCTTGATTTCACTCAGACTTACCAGGTTAGAAAGAATATCCAAATCAATCTGGGTTCAATTTTAAGGAATG